TAGATTCCAAGAGAAGTCATCTCATTGTATTTTTTCTTCTATTTGTGTAATTATATTCATGATCTACTTCTTCTACATAATTTAGCGCTGGCTAGATTAGTACTCTTGATTTCGATCAAAAAATGACACATCAAAGATCCAAATTTGCTAGAATTAATTCATTTGCTCGAATTAATTCATTTGCTCGCTTCTTTTAATTAATTTCAACTTTCTTGATGAGATTGCATATTTATGATTATTTCATTATCAAATGACTTTAAAATCTAGTATTGTTTGCTTCCTTTAAAGATTGTAAACTTTTTAAGTGATTGTTTATTGGTGATCTATGAATTCATTATTTTTCCCTTGCAAATAAGCTTCTACTCATCATATTAATTACATTAGGAAACCCAACCAGAAGTCATTCTACATCACTAATCAGACAAATGTGCAGAAAAAAGTTCAAGGAGCATAAACGCTTCGGTTTAATTCACAAGTCATTCTACTTGGAGATAGACTGTCCAAGATTAAGGTAGGTTAGGGTTAACTAAAAAAAGCCACGTGACTATCAATTTGGCTCCAAACTCATGCAATGTTAAAGTTGAACTCAATATTAGGCTCAAACTTGACTTCTTGATGCATTAAAAAACACGAAAATTTTGAAATTTCATTAAATAAATCTCTTTGAAGATAAGACCAACCTATATTAACATTAAAAAGCACTGCATCTAAACTTTCTATGAGTGTGCCTTCATAGTTGAACTATCAGTTTCTGCCTTTCTGGATAGTTGATGCGGGCAAATAATCCGGGGGATGGGGCACCCGAGGACCTCCGCCGGCACAAAAGGGGAGGGACGACACGACGCGCTCAAAAAGGGGAGAATACGACGAGCAGAAGAACAAACTCTTACATTTCAAATCTAAGACAGACTTAGAAATTAAAACAAACAAACCGACAACTACATATTGTAATTAAACGACTTTTAAACTCAAATCGAAATCAAAGACACCCTAAACTTGCTTCACTTAGAGAAGAAGGATACAGGTGGGGTGTAAACTTGCGGAGAGACGAAAGAGGTTAGAAGCCGAGAAGAAGGGTGGAAAGAGCTCGCAAGATTTCCGGAGGGGATGAGAAAAGAAGATGGACAAAGCTCGCGAGCTTCTCCAAGCAAACCCACAGGTTATAGCTTCCAAAAATAACTTATCATTCTCTTTTTTAAAACATAACAAACCCCTCATATTTATAGGTATGAAAGGGGGAATACAAAAGGACACAACATTGAATTCACACAAGAATCCAAGCAACACAAGCACGGAAATCCCCCCATGCTTTTCACGGAAAAACAGCCCAGCCCAGGAACCGAAGGAGCAACCACGGGAACCAAAGGAGCCGCACGGAACCGAGGCGCCAAAGCCACGGGAAAACCCCCCCAGCTCGAAAAACCAACAGCCACCGTGAGAACCAAGGGGCCATGCACGGAAAGCAGCAGCCCACCGTGGAAGCCAAGGAGTCATGGTATGGGAAACAAAACTTCTTGGAATTCCAAAAGCCAAGACAAACTTAATTAAGGACATAAAAATAATAAAAATTACATTTAATTAAAGATAACTATGAATTAAAACTTAGCTAATAATGAGCTAACCCTTAGTTCAATAAGTTAACTAAAGACCAGCTCATAAATGAGCTAAATTCCAACTCAAATTTGATTAAGCTTGTAAACTCGAGGGAGGTGAAGACGGTGCATCTAGCTCTTTGATCTTTTCTTCAAATTTCTTTAAAATTTCTTCCTGCTCTTGCTTGAATTGCCTTTGTAGATATCTCTTCCACTTCTCGAATTTTTGATCACATAAGAACATGTGATATTGAAGCTTGTATAAACGGTGTTGAAGCTGATCTGTTGAATCACCTTCTATAGGAATCCATCTGTCCAACAGAAGAGGGACATCGAGATTATCTGAATTGATTTCCTCGTTGAATGAATCCATTTTTTGTTATTTTACATTTTTTTTACTAAAAAAACTCAAAAAACTTAACCTAAACTTAGACTCACAATAAGACTCATGACAAGACTTACAAGACTCACAACTTGACTTGACTTGACAAAACAAAACTTGACAACCAAATCTAAAACTTAGGACTTCCTAACTTGCTCTGATACCAAATGATGCGGGCAAAAAAATCCGGGGGATGGGGCACCAGAGGACCTCCACCGGCACAAAAGGGGAGGGACGACACGACGCGCTAAAAAAGGGGAGAATACGAAGAGCGGAAGAACAAACTCTTACATTTCAAATCTAAGACAGACTTAGAAATTAAAAAAAAACAAATCGACAACTACAAATTGTAACTAAACGACTTTTAAACTCAAATCGAAATCAAAGACACCCTAAACTTGCTTCACTTAGAGAAGAAGGATACATATGGGGTGTAAACTTGCGGAGAGACGAAAGAGGTTAGAAGCCGAGAAGAATGGTGGAAAGAGCTCGCAAGATTTCCGGAGGGGATGAGAAAAGTAGATGGACAAAGCTCGCAAGCTTCTCCAAGCAAACCCTCATATTTATAGGTATGAAAGGGGGAATACAAAAGGACACGACATTGAATTCACACAAGAATCCAAGCAACACAAGCACGGAAATCCACCCATGCTTTTCACGGAAAAAACAGCCCAGCCCAGGAACCGAAGGAGCAACCACGGGAACCAAAGGAGCCGTACGGAACCGAGGCGCCAAAGCCACAGGAACCCCCCCCCCCCAGCCCAGAAAACCAACAGCCACCATGAGAACCAAGGGGCCATGCACGGAAAATAGCAGCCCACCGTGGAAGCCAAAGAGTCATGGTATGGGAAACAAAACTTCTTGGGATTCCAAAAACCATTTTGAAATTCCAAGAGACAAACTTAATTAAGGACATAAAAATAATAAAATTACATTTAATTAAAGATAACTATGAACTAAACTTAGCTAATAATGAGCTAACCCTTAGTTCAATAAGTGAACTAAAGATCAGCTTATAAATGAGCTAAATTCCAGCTCAAATTTGATTGAGCTTGTAAACTCGAGGGAGGAAAAAATTGATTTATTTTGGACATGAGTTGCCCCCCCCCCCCCCTTTGTCTACATCAATAGTTTAGTGCAAGATAGCATGCTATATATAAATATAATTTATTTATTTATGCATAGAGAGAGATGCTTATTGTTGGCCCAAAAACTCATTTTCGTGCTTTAATTGCTCCAATTTAACTGACACTTCAACAAGAATTGTTTTTCCTTTTTTTTCCCTATGCCAACAAAGACACTCCATTTTTTTCAGGCTATCTCTTCTCTACCGAAGGATTCAACAACATTCAGTCAATTAATCTATATGAAAATCCTTGAATCTACACTTCTTTTCAAACCCATGAAAAATTGTATTACTTGGCTGCCCTTTTCCCATCCAATAGAACCTGCATAACTAGATTATTAAAAAAATTAGGCCCTTCCCCCTCGCCCTTTTTCTTGCAAGAGTAAAGTTGACACTTCAAGGGTTATAACTTCGCATTTTCTCATCATGTGAGTATCTGTTTCAAGGAAATTTTACTAAACCATTAATGATGAATAGTGACATGAGGCAACAGCTCTTTTGCATGCTCCACTAAATTGGCCTAATAAATCATAACAACACAATGGCTAGAAGGATTCATATTCAACATATACAACAAAAGAAAATATAGATGAAATTTTGGCATACAACATATGCTCTTAAAGGATTTGCTAAATAGCATGCAAGTGTTGAGTTTGCATCTTAAAAAAAAGAGCTAGTAAGTAAAATTGATTTGAAGTGTAATCCATAGCTTTCTATAAACCTTCTTGCAAAGGCTAACAGAGGAGCATAGATAACAAGTTAAAACTCTCATCATGACTCATCTCTCAACCATCCTTCTTGATCACCGAATCTCCTCAAAGTGCTTCTCCTCATAACAACAAATTTTCCGCTGCATATGCCCTTTGCGTTCTTCCATTTTGATTAGCCAGGATGGGAATCAGCTAGATCGAGATGAGGACAGTTCACATAACCTAGTTCCAAACCAATCTAAGTGATAAAGCAAGTCATCAGCTTCCAATTGTTTGATCTCCATCGCCAACATCCTAGCACATAATGTGGAATTATCACTACATGCATACATGTCAAGGTTAACACTACATCTGCTCCATATTTTCATCCATTCATCAAAATTACCAGGTATAGAATGAGTTTCTATTAATTTAAGAGAAGTTTCATGTCCATCCAATATTTGAATTCACCAAAAAAAAACCCCTAAATTCGGAAAGATTGGTTGTCAAAGCTGTTTTACAGACAATTACCAATGCTGACTTGATTGGTATTTATCCATCAAATTTGCGTCAACAAGTTACTAATTGGTATTCTTAAACTAACCCCAAACCCAACGTATAAATAAAAGTTGCGGGCCTCTTCTTTTACATTATGAATTCTATTCATTTTGCTCATTTATTCATTTCCTGATGATAAATTTCGTCCTAGAGCCCTTATAGCCTAAAGCCAGCTTACTTGAGCATTGAAATGGCCTCCTAGAATTGTTGGTGAATGCATTGTAAATTAATTTCGATTATGTGAGTGCAGGATACCGGTTCAGCCACAAAGAGACATCAGCAACTCGAACAGTAATAGAAAGTTACAAAGTGCGACAATCAACATAAAAAATTATAGATGTAAAGCTCATGATGGAAAGTGTCTCTGTTATTTTAATTCATGATTTGTCTTGATTACTTCTAATAGCATTAAGTCAAGACTGGATACAGGATTTTTACCAATCAATCCTGAAAAAAAAAGCATGGATTGGGCCATCATCATGCAATTAATAAAGCAAGCATGATTGCTACATAGTTTTTTTGTTCCCAAGAATTTTTTGAACTCTTACATAAGCAAACAAAAGATTGATCAGGATCCTGATCCACTCGTGAAAGATATCAACTGCAAAACCAAGAGGACATATGGAATCACACAGTTGACAAATACCGCCTACCTCTAACTGGTTGTTGGAGACGTCGAGAAAAACCAATCCATGCAACCTTCCAAAGGCCTCAGGAAGAAACCTAAGCCGTTGCCCGGAGAGCTCCACCCTATCCATGCACTTAACCGACGCTTCTTGCAAGATCGCAACAACATTCTCGTTCAATTGCTCGCCCTCTTCCTCATCCTCCTGCCTCATCGGAACACTACTGTCAGAAGACGAAACGTATATTTTCTCAAGCCTCTCCTCAGCCTCCTTCAGCAACTTCTCATAAGCCCCGTGCATCTCGTCGAGCTTGAGGACGGCAATGTAAGGCAACTTCTGCGCGTCGGCCTTGACCCGGCATTCCTTCTCCCTCTCTACGAGATCAGAGCCGGCAGGCACGATACCTTCCAGCTGGCGGGTGAGTGCAGCGTCAATATCGGCGATATGCGAGCGCGCACCGTCGAGGGTTTCGTGATCGGGACGTTCCCCGAGGGCTTGGAGAATGGAACGGGTCTGGGCGACGTCGGAGACAGCGCGGACCATGGAAGCAAGCAGATCGGGATGCCGGAGATGGGGCATCCGCTCAACCAACTCCATCTCGAAGGGATGCAGTGAAGTTGGGGAGGACGACGACGACGACGGATTGGGGGCCTCTATGTCGTGTTCGGGGAATTGGCCGACGGTGGAGGGTAGATGTGACATGACATAAGAGAGGATGGGGAAGCGCTTAGGGTTTGGATCCATGGCGGAAAGAGAGAAGAGAATGAGCAATCTAGGAATCTCAGGAGAGAAGGGGAAGGAAGGGAAGTTTGCCGCCACGTACTTGCAGGCTAAAACCGGCGGAGCCTTGAATGTGTGGGAATTTAGACGATGACAGCGGGAAGACGGGAAGTAGCGAACAAACTGTAGGAACCGCGGGGGATAAATCAGGGACAAATGGGTACGGGGTATCATGCCCAGAAAAATGGCGCAAACAAGTGAACTCTATTCACGAGCTTATCCAAATTTGACTCGATAACAAGTCCAGCAGTCAAGTTTATCAAATTTCTAGCTCAAATTCGAACAGTTTTTGAGCTCGGTACATGATCGAGCCCGAGTTGGATCAATGTCATGCTCGACTCAACAGCCCGTCGAGAGGCTTGAATACCCGGTCCGCAAAGCAAAATAGCCGGTTAAATCATACTTGTGCGACCACGGGACTAGCAAGTTAAAGTAATCTAGGGTTATGCACGAAAAGAAAAAGTTAGTAACGAACAACGAGCGAAAGCAGAGGCGGAACTCTTATTCTCATTCATTCGTTCCAACAGCTAGTTTGTGCCGAGGAAGATCACCAAACATTTATTTCAAGCTTCCAGTGAGGGTGAGGAAGGCCACAGACCCCTAAACTCAACTCATTTTGATCCATCAGTTGCCATCTCCCGTAGTGCAACAAGTTGAACTTCCTTCAGTATTTTTTATTGTGAATCTTGTTTCTCATGCTATATTCATTCTATCTTCCCCAAAAAATCACCCTAGGTCTGTTTTTTTTTTTCCAAATCTTTCAACAACGACATCAAAACCTACAGCTTTAATTTCGAAGAGAAGATTCGCACGTTCTAAGATAAACTAGCAAGTTTCTTGATATTATGTTTTTAGCATATTTATTTCACTCTTTTTTACAAGTTGAAACACCATAGGATTTTGAATATCAACTTATTTTGTACTCTTTTTTTACATGAATAGAATGAGTTTCAACTGGTGTTTTTTTCTGCTCTTTCTTCATGCTCTTTTTCTTGTGTTGTTTGGCTCTTTTTTTGTGTATTGTTTGGTTCATAAAGTTTTCGATTAATTCATGTTTAGGGTTTAAGTGATTTTCTCAAATAATCTAGACTAAGTGATGCAAATGTCAAATTTTATATTTGTCAAAGACAAAAAAAATGCATGCTTAGATAAGTAGATTGATAATTGATATTTTGATCCTCAACCCTCTTTTCAAGCAGATTTGTTACAAGTGCACAAAACATGTTAGAATTTTCTGAAGTTGTTTAACAGTTGCAGCTATCTACAAGAAAACTAATTATGGATTGCCCAAAATGTCGAAATTCTACATATAGCATGCTTATTGTCGCACTCAAATTGAGGGAAGCTTTATTCTTTTATGTGGAAGAGAGGTGACTTATCATAGTTGTTCAACGGAGAAGGAGCGAAATAACATATGAAAGGTGTGTGATGTTTTGGGTTTTTTTAATGAGACAATAAATATTATTTCAGGATCAAAATATCCCACATCAAAATTATTCCTCATAGATCTGTACAATAAAAAAGGTATTGGATAATGGAGCACATTCTTAGGATAATTTTATTATAGAAATGTTAATAAAAATGAAGGTTAAATTTGTTAAATACTTGGGTGAGTATAATCTTTTAATGGCCTTTGGTGCTATCGTTGACCTGAGAATAAAATGTGTTGTCATAGAATTTGCATTTCCAATGATCTATTAAAGGGATGAAAACATACAAAATATCTTATATGTTTGATGCTTTATTGTTTGAGTTGTATGAAGAATATGTAGCTTGTTTTGAAGAAGAAATAGAATGTACAACCAACACATTAAGAGTGGGAAGATTAAGTGTTGTAGATACAAGGAATAGTTCAAAAATTATTCAATAAGCTTAGGAGAATAAGTATAATAGTTGGCTAGATTTTGCAGCTTATATTTTAGAGAAAACAAGCAGGAAACATGTGAAATTTGATTTAAATAAATATCTTGAAGATGATTTAGAAATTTATCCTTTAGGACACCCATTTGATGTTGTTGCATAGTGGAAGAGTAACCAAATGAAATAACGCATTTTATCAAGGATGATTGTTGATATTCTGACAATTCCAACTAGTATAGCAGCATCTAAATCAACATTTAGTGCATGAGAGAGGGTTGTTAGTACCTACAATTTGAAATTTGGTATTGAGATTGTTCAAGCTCTCATATGTGGCTCAAATTAGGTTTGTTCACACTACAGCATAACAGGAAGTAGGGCTGCAAATGAACTGAGCGTTCGACGAGCTACTCGTGGCTCGACTCGATAAGTGCTTGTTCATGTTCGTTTAATTAGGTAAACGAATGAGCATGAACACTTTTGATAAATACTTGATAGCTAAATAAACGAACTTGAAAAACTTGATGTTCGATTTATTTACGTTCATGAACAATATCGTTTAACGCTCGTGAACAACCTTGTTAAGAAGCTCGATTAGAGCTCAACTAAGAAGCTCAATTATATATTAGAGTTTTTAAGAAATATGTATTGTTAAATTTAATATTTTTTTTTTACTAACCCATTTAAAATTGTTTAATAATTTATTTTTACTTCCCACATCCAACAAAAATTATGAACAACCGCTCTATGAACAAATATATATAAGATGTTCATGGATTATTTATTTATGAACGAGCTCATTTGGTAGCTTGAAAATATTAATTAGATATGTTTATGAACAGGCTCATTTAATATCTCAAGAATACTTATTAGATAAATTTGTAAATGTGCTTATTTGATAGTTAAAAAAACTTCGCTAAATGTATTCATGAACATGCTTGTTGTAATTATTTGTTAGAATGCTCGATAAGGCTTGTTCGTTAAGTTAATGTACATCTAGAAGTAGAGCTCATTTATAGCTTGATAAGGCTCATTTGTTTAAGGCTTGATAAGTACAAAACGAACCGAACATGAATCAAGCATGAACCAAATATAAACACCCATTAATTTAAATGAATCAAGCTTGAACACAAACAAAAAATCTCTTACCAAACACAAACTAAACTTGAACAAGCTTGTAATAAACGAACTCAAACATGAACATGCACATACTCAGCTCGGCTCGGTTCGTTTGCAACCCTAAAAGGAAGGATGAAGGTAATGATTTATTAAAATTTTTATTTTCAAAGTTTCTCATTTTGTAATGCTAATGGTATCATTGAATGTAAATTAATTGGAGATAAGACTACCCCTAGATTAGAAGCATTTTTAAAGGTAGAAGATCCCTTTACACCATCTCTTTATTAACATTTAAAGCAATAATTGTGACATTTATTTTTTTCATTTGCATGTTTACTATTTGAATGTGTTTGTGACTAGACTTTTATATATTATAATTATTTACTACAGATTTCATCAGTCCATTTATAATTAATTTATTAATTAACTATACATTTTCGGCCTGGACATTCAAACTCGGACATTTTTTGGATCCATTGAACTGTTTTTCAAAATTCCAGACTCAATTTTGAAAGTTTCAAAGCCCAAGAGAGCTTCTATAATTAGTTACGAGCAATTTAAAAAGTTTTGAATTGTAATTTTTCCAACATTTCTTGTTCCATTTGATATTTTTTGGTTCAAAAAGTCTGATTCATACATTTTTGGAGTCTCGAAATCATTTTTTTATGTTCCATACTCAATTTTTATACTTTTGAAGCTCAAAAGAACCTTCATGATCAATTTTGAGCTATTTGAATTTTTTGGATTAAATTTTTGCTATATTTTTTGTTCAAATGAACACTTTGACTTTGCGGAATATTAAAATTATATATTCAGACTGAAGGTGCGACATCAAAAAATATGGGGGCAACTAGTACATCAACAAAGATTTGCCTCGATCAGGCCCAAATCTCGAAGCATATCCAAGTTAAAAACATCAAAAATTAAATTTTGGACCATCTGAACTCCAATTTCAACAAATTTATAGTCAAATTGAACATCTTGAAGAGACAAACCAAAAACCTCAAAATCGGTCCATTTTGAACCCAAATGGTTCCAAATAAAGTCTGAGGCATATTTGGAAGGTTCAAAGCATTAATTGGATAATCAACTGATATCAAAATATGACATCTTACACTCAAATCAAGCGGCTCAACAAGACAAATCTAACGAACCAATATCACTTAATTCCAACGTCATTAAGACACTTAAATATTTTAAAAAATAGTTTATGATTAGAGGAATCAATATGGGTCATCTAAAGGAACACTCCAAACCTACTTTAAATCTTCTCCTTATTTACAGGGTATGTCACTCATGAAAATCTATAAATAGATCTCACTCTCTAGATGAAGGAACCTTTGACTAGAGATTCGTGAGAGCTTTGAGGCTTAAAGAGCTCCATCACTACCTCTGGCGAATCTCCGTCAATTATTGCTAGACCACCGCCTAGTCATTGACCGTCGCTGGACTTCCACCCGGTTACCGACAACCAAACGCATAAAGACTTTCACCCGGCCGCCGGACTATCGCCCAACCATCATCCACAGCCGAACGTTGACCACAGTCGGACTTCTGCCTAACCATTATTGGATCACTACCCAATAGCCGATCGCCGCTGGACTCCCACCCGTCCGCCAAACATCCTCCCAAACGCCATCAAACTTATGCCCGACCGTTGTGGGATTTCTGCTTGATCGTTGTCGGACTTCTACCCAGCTGTCGTGGGACCTTCATCCAACCCTCCAAATTATTGTAATTCTATTACCTCTAAGTCAAGGGATGGATTAACATTTGTAATTTACTCAAATTTAGTGGAATCTTTTCACATGGGCGATGCCTAGTTGTTTTTTCATACCCTTCTCTTTATATGTATGTGTGTTGGATATTAGTTTAAAGCTAAGACATTAAACTCTTTATTTTTCTACCGTCTCAAATATTCTAGTATGCAACAATCATAAAATTATATTGAAATCATACACAATAAAAATATTTGATGAATTTTTTGGCATTTGCATTCCAATGAATAAACAATAAGAGCTTGTGATGTAAGTCATATAAATTATGACTCTTCCTGTAATTTATATCTTTTTATTTTTCAATAGCTCATAGTTTTCTTTATGGTATAGGTCCTACAAATTGCTAGGCAATTTTATATGAAAAGATAATCAAGTTTGACGATGATTATGCCTAGAATTAGGGGTATAAATGAGTCGAGTGTTTACCTAATGCTAAGTTTGTTTAGCTCTTACTGAGCTCGAGCTCGACTCTTTAAAATATTTATAAGCTCGAGCTCGGCTAGATTGCTCAAGCTTGTTTGGTAATCTCGAGATTGACATGATTGGTGAACTTGTTTTCTTAATTTTAAATTAAAACTTTCAAATTTTGTTAGAGTTTTTTTAATATAAAATTAATTTAAAATATTAAAATATATTATATAATGTTAATTTAGATTAAAATTTAAAAATATTTTATGTTAATCAAGTGGTTCAACGATCTTTTGAATCGAGCCAGGCCGAGATCAAATTAGAGCTTGTTTAATATACTAACTCAAGTATAAACTTGATCTCGAGCTGGAAGCTTAGTTAGGTAACGACGTGCGGAGCTCTGATGATGTTCTACCTGAACGAAATTTCGGTGTTTGGGCACGGGCCGGAGACCGCAAGGAAACTCCAGGGTTCTACTCCTCACGACCAGCTCCTGATTCAGATCTCGGATTCTTTCGCGGGATTGCTATTATTCGCCATAGGATTCCTCCTCTTCATGGTCTCCTTCGTCAAAGATCGTGATTTTCAGAATTTCTTTGCGAAAGGATGCATCCTTCTCCATGTCTTCATGGCCCTTTGGCGCATCTGCTTTGAGCGGCACCTCGAGGACCTGGCCCGCGACTGGCCGCGCCAGTTAGTTGGCGACGTCGTGCTCAGCCTATCCTGGTTGTTTTTCCTCGTTTATTCCTGGAGGGAGAAGTACGACTGACTAGATTTAACGACTGTTCTGCCCCGTGTAAACGGGAGCTTACGGCTGGTCATGGGGTCAACTCTCTGTTACATATCTGCGAGGAAGAAGATGATGATGGAAAAGGCGGTTGAGTTGCGGGGAGAAGTGTTCTTCGCTTCTGGATTCTGATGTTTTCTGGATCTCTTTGGTAAAAATCCATGTTTGATTTATTCCGAATGGCTACTGAAGGAGGGGACAGTTTTTCTCATATACAGCTTGTATTCTCTGTTCCTTTCTAAGATGAATTTCTTGTGTCTAGTCTTGATAAGAATTTGAAAGATTATTTTTCTGTAAATCTTTTTTTTGCATCAGTTCAAATTTTGTTGTTGTGTTTGTGGCGTAGGTGTTCATGTTTTTGTTGCTTTCTTGTTTGTTTTGGCATCTGTTGTTTCTCCCTAATTATATTGGGAAATTCTTATTAGAAAACCTCCATGATTTCCTTTTCTCTTTGCAGCTTCTACCAGCATAATGAACCTAGGCTGAGGTTGTTTGGAGAGAGTGAAAAACTTTAATTTCTTCCCTCAATTACTAGTTCAAAAATAGAAAATTCCACTATTGTTATGGAATTAGGCTCGTGATTTTTTAATTTTTAGTTTACAAGACATCTTTTTTCTCCAGAATTGTCAAGAATTTAGTGCTAAATAATTATATGCAGGATTCCTTTTAAAGAAGGATTAGAATTTTAATTTAAGAAAAAGAAAACCCTGCTTTTGAAACAAAGAGAATCAATTGTAGACCTCGCATCCCAAAATAAGTAAGGATATTATGGATATATCCTTTGTGATGCTCTCTGATGCCTGCATCATTCGTGCCTATATTGCTTTTTTTCTTAATTGATAAGGATCTACAATTGCTCTGTTAATTCTTTTATTCATTCTTTTGAGTTTCCAAGTTCACCAACTATTCAAATTGTGTTCCTGAAGCTTTCATTGCTCGCTCCTTGTCATGTTTTCTGACAAAGGCTGTAAAAATTTTATTGCTTTGTATTCCCATATGTTTTATATAGGTAAATTGTGATTCTCCATATGATAAAGAGTACAATTTACCCATGTTTTTTTATTTAGAACTTGCATCTTTAGCTTAAGATTTTCCAAATTTTGATCTCATGCTTTCATTTTTACAATAATGTTGGAATCCATTGGTACTATAACAACAACAACATCAAGCCTTTGTCCCACTACGCGGGGTCGGCTACATGAATCCTTTTTTACCATTATGTTATGTTAAGTCAAATTTTCATTCAAATCTAATAAAGAAAGATCATTTCTAATATTTTCTAACCAAGTCTTTTTAGGTCTACCTCCATCTTTTTTAACATAAGTCAAATTTAATACCTCAACTTTCTTAACCGGATCATCGGAAGGCTTCTTTTTCTCCATTGGAATCCATTGGTACTAATGCTAATTAATTGTTTCAATCCTTTGCTGGTTTCTTTACATAAATTTTACTTACAAAAAACCGTAAGATGACCTTAAAATTTAATAGAATGCCTTAAACAAAAACACATCTCTGTTGATTTCTTACAGGGAATTTGTAGGCTAGTCTGGAGCTTTATTCTGATTTATGGAAAATAGTTAGTTGCAGGGGCTCGTTTCCTTGAGAAATTAGACCAATCAGTAAGCATGAGGGTAGTTCACTTGAGAATACATACTTCTCTGTGACGGCAAATTATTCTGTGCTAACACTGAAAGCCGTTCAGAGCTCAATAAAAATGTGCCACGTCACCCCCTACTTGGTATCGCTGCTCGGTACCGCGGCTTGGTACTGCTCAGTACCACGGCTCGGTACTAGATGAGGTGGTTGCACCTGATTCATCTTTGAACGGTAAGCTATGTCCGGTGTTGCACAAAATAATCTCTCCTTTGTGATGGCTTGCTACAAAGAAGTATGTTAAATTGTCAGTGCATCATTAGGGTGTTTTAATATATTTAATTATTTGTTTACTCGCCATGGGCCACCTTAATGATAAAAGCTTGGAGAAGTACATAATTTTCCAGTGATCTTCAAGAGACTTATCTTCCAGCTTGATCTTTTTTAGTAGAGTAGTTGAATTGTGGGGTATGATCTGTCAAAATCTTAATCATAAGCTTTATTTTATAGAAATTTTGCTTTAGCTTGCATCACTTAGCTTATATGAATCTCATGAATCAGCTTCTTGTTGAGAATATGAATGAGAGGCAATGAATAGGTTGTCTAATTGCTACTCTCATCATCATCGCTTGCCTTATCCCATCAACTTAGGGTTGGCTTTACATCAAGATAAGTTTTTCGCTGGTTATTGACTATCTAATACAGTCCACCAATTTTCTCGTATTTAGGACTTGACAATAGCAATATTGTAATTGTGCTTTCCATTTATTATAATTTTCTCGCATAAAACTCCTGCAAAAATCCGAGAAAAATATTTTGCTGAGGTTGTCTCAAGCGAAAAATTCGCTTAGGAAACATATAAATATATATGCCATTAGAAAAAAAAAATATCTCAGACAGAGGAGTAAACCTTCTTTATTTGATTACCTTTTTAAATAGAAACAACAAAGAAAATAAATTAAATTTATCAATCTAACCTCGCTGGATCAATATTTATTTTAATTTCCTTCCATTTTTACCGAGTAGGTGCCTTCTTATATTGGGTAATAATTGAGTCGCAGATATTTACAAATCAGTGACTTCATTTTCCTTGCCAATCTAATCTAATGCGCTGGCTTTGCCGAGTGAGCACTATTAAAATGATCTGTCAAAATATCTGCAACACCCACCGATTTTTAGTTTAGTTGATGGACGAGTATAATTTCGAGCGTCAGCGCCTCTTAAGTGGGGTCCTAATAATTGCTGGCCAGGAGTTTATGTAGGAGTGGGTGTCTCTTTTAGGTCACCTGAGGGATTAGTTACGTTGTCAAGTCTCACAAGCTGAGGTGGCAACTGGCAGATACCTCCGTTCCAAAAAAAAAATTATCTGCAACACCCATCGTTGCTTAGCTTGATTGGTGAGCGAGTATGGTTGGGAACCCCCCAACCTGTGCTTGATTCCCGTCAAACGGCAACGCCTCTTAAGTGGAGCTCAATCAAGTGCGGACCAGAAGGTTTCTGGGATGGGTGCCTCTTCTAGGTCAGTCGAAAATTAATCACGCTGTCATATACCCTTTCGGAGGTCACAACTCACAACAGATGGATACCCGTTCAAAAAAAAAATATCTGCAACTAAACAAGATCTGATATCAAATACTACCATTGATAGAGGATGCGGATAGGGTTTGATGGTGACAATAGCTTCTTAGCTGGTTCAATAAACTTTTCTGTAGCAAATATGGCCCCTGTTGTAATTGTCATACATATATCTATATAAAAGTACAAAGATAAGATGAGAGCAGCAAAAATATGGATAAAACAATAGAGGAGAAACCATAGGCCTACAACTGCCTCTTATTTCTACGCCACTTGGTTACCTAACAAACAAAGATTTTTATTAGATAATGATGGGTGAAAAAAACTTAGTGAAAATGTTTTATTATCTGAAACTTAGCTGCCTAATAAATTTTGCAGACAATAAATAGAACAAAACTGTTATTGATTGATGACATTTTGAGGGCTGTTATTTTGTATTTTTATGTACTTAATTTCTGTTTTATGGGCTAATTAACCAACTTAAAAATAAAAAATCATTAAAATTTGTGTTTGTGCACTCATAAAAGTCTAGATAAAGGCTTCATTTTGAATAACTTTTTTACTGTTTTTTAAAAGTTTTTTAGTACGGTTTGTGTCAACCATTGATATAATTAAAGTCAACATTTTCTAACGTACAGTGAGTGTGAAAGATGCCAAGAATGAGAACTCAAAGTCATGGGCCATTCTAATGAAGGAGAAGATATCTCCAAATTACTGTAAGATGTCTTGACTACTAGAGAGGATCATTTGAAGGATTGCTTGACAAGAATGATTAAGATAATTTTTAAGCAAGATTTATGAACTATCAATGTGCTAAAACAGCTTGAGAGAAAGGACTTTGAATTATCTTAACCACTAAAGACAACCAAGTTCAAGGGATCCTGTCTTTGCCACAGTAATTGCTGGAACCATGTCTATGAAGAAGTGTAGTTTTGAACCACCACTTCCTCATCATGTTGTGAAACTTCAACCTTAACATTCGAATTCGTTCTCTATTGAAATTACAGAGACTTAGGCTCCATTAAAGTTCAAAATTCCTCATCTCTATTTATATAAAGTGAAGTTGGACCCCTTTGTCCATGACTTGGAGCATGTTACTTATCACTTTAATATCAAGGGCATGCCACGCTCTAGGATTTATATTCGAAGAGTTATATTTATCTTTTATTTGAATCATTTAACTAGAGCTTATAAATGAACAGCAGAAAGAAACATGCATGTTATCTTGAGTCTTATATCAAAGAATGTTTACCCTTTCTTGAAATTATTTAAAACTACATAATGAGCACATAGTCCAGCAAGTAATTAAAATCTTACAACTAAAATCAATGTAAAATTAAAGAGAACAATATGCTATACATCATATAAACAAATATATATATCAATATCTATATTGATTATATGTATCAATTTATTCTTCTATAATTTATCACATCTCAATTCATTATATTATGAGTCACGGTAACAGTCAACAGTACTAATGTTAATAACAATATTAGAATCATGATCAATAATTTTAAATAGTTTTAATGCCATTAAAAAGTATTAGTGTCAGTCACAATAACAATACAATGTTCGTAGTAGTATTGGTATCATTATTCAAATATTCAATAAGATTATCGTAAGAGTATTTTGTTCATATACTTATGACTCTCAATCAATCACCCCTTATAATTCTCAAGCCTATGACATGTCAAAGTGCATGTAATAACTTTTCTAGGATCCATGAAGCCAGTCTAGAAACAATTGAAACTAGCCATTTGAGATATCAAAATTTCAATAACAGCTAGATCATTAATCATGACATCAAAATCATGACTTTTCCCATGAAAGGTGATAGCATGATTTGAAAAACTATGACGTCGCCATCTCTGCAATATCCAACTATCACTCCCCTTTGAATTTCTCTTTTAGAAGATAAATGAGATTCATATTAAAAGATAGTTCTAATAACTAATGCAAATGAATATAGGACCACAAGCCTATGACATGTCAAAGTACTGTGTATTTCATAAAGAATATGAAAATGACAAAGAATTGCCATCAACTTCATTATATGGTTAAAATGTTGATTCATGTAATAAAATCGAAAGAATTCTCCTTTGCAAAGCTTAGGTAATGAATCAAGAAGGAACTCATGAATGAACAACGAAAGGATCTTGAGACATGTGATTTATATAGCAAGACTGGTGTTATCATATCTTAGAGTTGAAGTTGAAGCATGAGAACAAATAAGCCTCAAGCAAATTTAATAAGAAGACATATGTGCT